CAACATTTTTGTGTAGAAAATCACGATGTGGGACACTTTTACTATCAACTGGTTATTTCCCAGTGTAGTTCTGTTTTTTGCAAGCCAAAAGTGGCTCTGGAAAGTGGAAGTCATAAGTTAAAAACTTGACAGGTGGCACAAGTTTGATCCTAATAATAACGGGTGGTAGTATTTAAATGAGCTGGTCCTTGGCTTCTGTAATAAATGTAAAATAGTTAAATGTATTCTTAGATAGCAGKATGCAGCTGGGCTCAATATGTTGGCCTGCATGGAGCCAGCCAACAGATAAAATGGTTATCTGTGTGGTGTTTTATGTATTTAAAAAAGTAAATAAAGATTTGGGTAAATGATAAATATTTTTTCCTTGTTTGTATAAGAGAAAAAATGCTTGTTGGAAGTTTTCCAGACCCCCACCCCTCCACACACAAAGACGTCAGTATCAAATTTTCAATGTATCGAGCCATAACCTTCACATGTGTTTCTCTTATCTCCTCTTGAGATTTTATGACAAAACATAAAAAGTATGAGTTGCCGTTCAAACCAGTGCCAATATACAGTATATGTTCTTTTTCCACAGGCAGGAGATTATGAAGTGGAACGGCTGGGGATACAGCGACTCCAAATTCCTCTACAATAAAAAGGGCCAAGCTGAATTTACAGGCAAAAGGTAAAGTGTAGTATTACACATGCCCCGGGGCACTGTTCTTTCTTATCAGTTGATCATTTAAACAGTGATATTCGCTGCCTTTTCAGTCTCGTTTTGGTTCAACTAGAGGAGTTATTTTGTTTGTGCGACTCAAAGCTGCACTTTTTATGCACTGATCTCTTTCACAGACCCTACTTTGAAGGCAGTTTTGGAAATCAACTGCTGGGTTTCACCTCCCTTCCACAATGATGTGCTGCTTCTGCCACCTAGTGGTTGGCATTTAAATGTTTTTAATTGTCTTTTGAGAAGGTCACAAGCTGTGTTTTTCAGTCTATCTCTTGCTTATCAAGAACAACATTCCAGGATTGATTATTGGATGAAAACACTTTAAATCCCAAGGAGAATGAAGATGTATTTAATTGGCTGTAAATGTCCAGGAAAAAAAAAAGACTTCAGTGTTTCCTCAATGTTTTGACACAGCCTGCATGAAGATACATTTTGAGTAAGGAGCTAAACGGGATGTTGCAAAGCAGATAGTTTCTTCCTGGTAAAGCATGTGGCATAAGCTCCTCGAGCTAAAGAACCTACCTGAACGTTACACAGCAGACAGAACTGGGCTGAAAACATGATGTTCTGCTTCTCTGTGCTTGTTGACAGATTTTTCATTTCCCAGCATATTTCTTACGTTTAGGCACACCACAGTTCCCCCGATRGGCTGGCCCAATTTATGCCAGAAGCTTGATTATGCAAGAAATGGCAAAGACAATTACAACATAACACACAATTTGTACAGTATTTTATTAGATACAAAGCTTGTTATTCAGATAAAACTGCCCAGTTAAGCATTCATTTCCAGATTTTTATTTTTGTTGAAAGATAAGATTTAATTATTCCTAATTAAGAGTTCATGCTATCTTTCCTTTACTCTAACCAGGTATAGGCTAAGTGGTTTAATCATTCCTGGTCTCAAAGATTGGATGGAAAGCACGCTCAGTGCCAGTCTGCAGCATAAAGCTCCAACAACAGTGAGTTCAGTTCTTTGTTTCCTCATTGTTTCTTCATGAATGGGAGTACACACAACGCTTAGTCACTGCAACCGACACCACATTGTTGTTGTTTGTTTTCAGCCCGTTCTGAACACCAGTGCTGTACAGCCTCCTACACTGAATGAGACCTTCGTGGAGGAAGTCAAATCCACAGGTATCCCCTTCTCTCATGACCCAGAAGATCGAGTGTTTCGTGCTCACGGTAAGACAAAATTCCCACGCACATCATAAGATTTTATTGACAAATTACTTGTGTTTATCAGTAGGAAGTGTACTGTTTTTGTGATTAATATGCGTTTTCTTCCAGGGCACTGCTTACATGAGATCTTTGCTCTGAGAGAGGGAAAGATCGGGCGCGTTCCAGATATGGTGGTATGGCCAAGTGAGTAGAAAATCTGTGTTGGGTTGTTGTAGGTGGGGGTTTCTCTTTCCCACAAAGCATCACTGTTCCTCCTTCTGGCTAAGGTGATTTAAAGGGTTAATCTCTGCAGAGGCAGAGATATTAATATGTATGAGTGGAAGCTTAATAAGAAGCATCAGGGGGAAGATGGTTGACACCCAATACTCTCCAGTCTGGCCCTCCACAGTACCATCATGAGTTATGATTCTGAGATTGGGTTTCTCTTGTTATGGCTGGTGCTATTTTATCATGCAAATGAGTTTTGACTGATGGTTGAAACTTGATTAGCGGCGTCCCAAACGGGCTGCAAATCACCAAGAAACTCCGGTCGTATTCTCATCCACACTGACTCAAATTCTTTTGCAACTACACACTTTTAGTTTGTTGTGTAGTTTGAGGGGATGCTTTAAGTTATAAACCATAAAAAGCTGCCTGTCTTCCTTTTTGGATTTCAAATGCACTAGAACGTAAGCAGTTCTCATTGCCTCCTGCAGCCCTCCAGGCCAGTGGAGCACGTCCATGTGTGAGGCTTTTGCTGCTCTTCCCACTCACTCACCTCTCCTGTGTGAATGGGTTTAGGCTCAGTGATTGGTTAGAATGCATCAGTATTGATCTGGCACATCCCACTCTGGAGAGCGGAGCTTAATGCAGTCTGACTCTGCCTGAGGAAGGCCCCAAGCAAATTAAAAGATACCCCGCCTCTGCTGGCGCCCTGCTCTAATGGCTCAGGCAATATGCAGTTCAACACTACCCAGCTTTAGATTTGGTTTACATATTGTTTGTTTTTATAGGCAACTTGTTCGAGTAAACATCTAATTTTTGTCTATTCTGATTATTATTTTTTTAGATTGCCATGATGACGTAGTGAAAATTGTGGAGCTGGCATGCAAACACAATGTTTGTTTGATACCTTATGGAGGTAAGACACAGATCGATGTCTTTTAATTAGCCTAATTACCTTTTTTATGCGACGTTATAACATTTTATTATGTTAGACATAGTTTACTCTTGTACTGTGATTGCAGTGTTTATTTATCTGGAGAGCTAGTGAAGCCCCTTTTAAACCAATGACCCATTTAGGTAAATAAGGAATATTTAACTGCAAATGTCACATTCCAACACATCAATCAGTGTAGCTGGTCGGTACAAGCACATTATATACTTAATGCTTTCAGGTGGCTGGGATCAAACATAAACTTTATCAGTAAGTTTTGGCACAATATTAAAAATGGACAGAGTTTGGTTTAAAACATTAAGTCATTAGAAATGTTGCAGGTTTATTTCTTAATTTTGCTGGCATATTTTAGTTAGTACTCAAGTGTCAGGTCTGAATGAATTATTTTGTCTTTAAAAAATCAATCAAAACAGTTCATTTAGTCACATAGTTTCTCCTAAATAGTTTATTTTTTTATTTTATTTACATTTTGACTTGTTACAAGAGAAGCTCAGATACAGTTAAGATGKCTAAATTCTAATTAGAGGAAGTTCAGTTTTGTAGATTACTGTCATAGATTTGATTTGATCTGAAAAGTGGATTCCACTTCTTTCCTTTCTGTGACAAGTCTACATGATTTTTGGGCAAAACAAATCTTTTAAGTTGTTGAAAGGCTTCGTCTCTTCTCCAAGAGACTTCTTCAGTCTGAGGAGTTACAGGTGAACTCAGCCTTATAAGCACTGCCTCCACATGGTACATAATTCTTTGTTTTGTAATTTTTATGTTTAGGAGGAACTAGTGTGTCTAGTGCCCTGGAGTGCCCGCCAGATGAAGCTCGATCCATTATTTCTTTGGATACATCACAGATGGTACGTAAACAGTTGGCTCATAAAGGAGGACACTGTCGAGTATCTAAAATAATATTTTATATTTTTGGTGCTGTTGTATTCTTCCAGCCCTTTTTGGTTTGAAGGATAGTTTAAATCATGTTCAAGGGTTTTTGTTTTGGTGAGAGTAGTTAAATTAGATCAGAGGAGCCCAAAGTGGGGCCCGCGGGCCTGATTTGGCCCGCCAAGCCATTTGATACGGCCCACCAACAGTTGCCAATGTTACTAGGTTGTAAGCTGCTATCCTATAGGTAGAAACACAGTGTTTCCATTGGTCAAATGACTATGTAAAAGGGCTGTAGTGAAGGTAGTTTTCAGTCTTGGTGTTGACATATCTTTGGTTTATTAGGATGAAACATGAAACGACAACAAGAAATATTTAGATCAGATTTAACCCCGCATGTAGATTTTCACACTTTATAAGGCCACAAAAACTCATATTTTATCTATTTATGACATGTCCCATGAGCCTTTGCTACTTGAGCGTATGGCAGACTTTCTCCAAGTGCRCAGACTAAAACAAAAGAGAGCCATTGTACAGCTTAATTGTTCAAAATAAATGACTTTACTTAAAAAAGTATTTGTATTTCATGTATTATATAACTGCATCTGGCCCGTAGCCATGGATAGATTTTCATTTTGGCCCCCTCAGGGAAAATGTTTGGGCACCCCTGAATTAGATGTTTTGATGTAATATTTAACAGCTATTTTGAAATGAATTGAGAATTAAATATTCTGCAGATATTGCTTTAAATAATTTTTTAGGGCTTTGTATCGTTGTTGTTGTTTTTGTTATTTTGAGATTTGATTTCATTTTTGATCACTTGGGTGGGGGGCAACTTATCCTTTAATTTTATTTGCATCCCAACCTGGAAAATAAAACAGTCTTGACCACACTACAGTTCTTTGATCCAGAAACACATTTTGGTGATATATAAGCTGTCTGGTTACTGCTAGTCTACCARTCTGTGAGTTTGGTGCCATAGACATCAGTGACCGGTTTTCTGTGTCAGGGGCCAGAGGTGAGGTGGCTCCAATGAAAACACATGAAAGGGGCAACATGATCGCAAAACATAAAGTTTATTACCTCTGGAGAATAATTGATGGCAGAAATAACAAGACTTCCTTTGCGTAGACGAAGCCACATGCTCAGACCAAACAAGAGACAAGTATTTGGAATTAGATGTTAACTTCAATTAAGATGGCTGTTATCTCTGTCCTGCAGCACATCTGCTTGTATTTATCTTTAAAAAAATTATACTTAAAAAAATAGTGCCAACCAGCTGTTTCTAAAGAGAGCTGTTGAGTTTATAGTTTTGAGCATTACATTTAACACATAATAAATGGTGTTGGATTGCATCTGTTCATTATTTAGGATGGGAAGCGCTTATTTATTTAAAATGCTATTGACTTCCTCTTGTGTATTTTATTTTTTATTTATTTTTTTTCAGAATCGCATTCTGTGGATTGATGAGAAAAATTTAACTGCACATGTGGAAGCTGGCATCATTGGCCAGGATTTGGAAAGATTGGTAAACATTGTTTATTCCTTTGAGAAATTCATGAAAACACGAATGTCGACGTCCATTTGCATAATTTAGTGCTGTTTATTTTTATTTTACCTCTGCTTCACTCACCTTGGTACTTTTTTTTTGCACAGTAGATTTAACAGGATTTGGAAAAGCGGTTGAGAAAGGAGCAGAGTGGTGAAGGAGGGAGATTAGAGAGCGAGCTGGTGGTCATGAGCAGATGGCACCATCAAGCTAATTCAGAAAAATGGAGAGAGAGCGGGCGTATGATGTAGAGGAATGTGTGAGCAGCATATAAAGCAGACTCCACCTCTGCATTTAGACTGGGTTGAGTTGACGGAGCAGATGGGTCTGCAATATAAACTATGTTCCAGAGGGGTGTGTGATAAAACAAGGCCCAACTTACATTTGTGCTTCGGGGGAGTGTTATCCTTATACTTAAAGGTCTTTATTATCATCCCTGTTAGATGTTTTGACAAAAGATGCAGCTCCTGAACATCCTTTTGATAATACATAAACGTGATTATGTATTTGAAAGGATGAGGAACTCATTGTGCAGAAATATTGCATCACAAAAACCATACACTAAGTGAAGGATTATTATATTGTTGAATTGTTTATTTTTTTTTTAAGTCATGTTCACTCACAGTTTGAAGTTATTTGACATATCAGCTCTGACATTAGTTGTGTTCGTAACACTCGGCTTATGTAAGGTTGTTGTAAAAAATCTGTAGTTCTATAAAAGCCTTTCTTTTAAATGTTAAAGTTTAACTAGAGTGGTGAAACGCCGCCACAGAGCTGCAATTATTTTCCCGCCCCCCTGCTTGCTTTCTCTTTCTGCTTGTCATTAAAACATTCTTGCGAGTTTACAGCATCAAACGTTTTTTCCAAACATTTTTGGGTGTTTTTATTTTTTTTAACCACACCAACAAACACATGCTGTTTTTTATTTATTTATTTATTTTTCTGCTTTTTATCTTAGCTTAATGAGAGCGGCTACTGTACCGGGCATGAGCCTGACTCCATGGAGTTCAGCTCCCTGGGGGGGTGGGTAGCTACGAGAGCGTCAGGCATGAAGAAGAACATCTATGGCAACATTGAGGATCTGGTGAGTCACCTCCCTTCCTATTTTATTTTAATTTTTTTCTGCCTCCCTGCATGTTGGATCCACACACGCAGTGAGGACCTGCTCAGTAATTAGAGAATAAATTGTTAGCATAAGTCTGGTACTCTTTACTCTCCTCTAAAATGCATTCATTGTATAGAACACCTGTTAATTAATCTATCTGCTCTGATTAAATAGGTTGTCCACGTAAAGATGGTTACCCCACGAGGTGTGATTGAAAAGGGTTGTCAGGGACCACGCATGTCCACGGGGCCCGACATTCACCACTTCATCATGGGCTCTGAAGGTCTGCTAACTCTTGTGTAATTTCAGTTCTCCACAGCATCTGGGCCTGTATGCATTTGTGTAGACCCTTTGTGTAAATGTAGGTTTTTGTGTGTGTATAAGGTATCTGTGATAAAACAGCAACAACAGGACATTTCTCAGGCTTCTTACACATTAACTAGCACTGGTGTAAACTGATCTGGAAGGGGTATTTTATAAGGAATCAGCGAGGGTCTCCTTCTCTCCATCTGCGCTCTTTTTTTTTTTTTAATGAAAGCCCACAGAGAATACTGCCATATGCCAAGTTCCAAGTACATAATGAGGGGCTTCAGAGATGTTTGGCATTGCTATGTTAAACAGCTGTGGATGCAAACTTTGTTTTGGCCCTACGAAGCTCAGCAAACCGCTCCAGGGCTCGGCTGGGAATTGCAGCATAAGTCTTAATTTGTGCTGTTTAGATGTGATTGGATTCACAAACTAGTGTGGAAGTTTGAAATCAAACAGATAAACCTAGCACTGCATTTTAATTAAACCCACTTTGGTCTTTTCATCTTCAGATCTGTAACTTTGGGGGGGGGGGTATAATGTATTTTGCAGGCAAATACTTAAATTCTATACCACAATCTAACAACTATGTTAATTTTAGTTGTTGTAAAAATGCTGTATATATCGAAAATAAATTTGACTTTGCATCATAGCCTATGTCTTTAAGAACCTCCTACCGTTTCTGACACTCCCACTTCAGCACATCTTCCACAATGCTCCGTAGGAGGGGTGCTCTGTGGGGCTGGAGCTCGGCTGCAGACTGAGCTCCAGGGAGGGGCTTTGTACAAATAGGCGGAGCTTTGTACCAGCAAGCGTTTAGGCAGCTCCACATGGCTGCAGGAGATTCAAGGATTTCTCAAACATGCATGAATGAGTCAAAACAACATTTGATGTTTTCAATGAGGGAATGACATTAAAACATGATGTGAAGCTCAAAAACATCAATTTTGCATAATAACCCCCCCCCC